ATAAAGGCGAGTGTTGCTGACTGACTGAGTGAGTGATGTAGTTGAACTGCCGGTCAGCCGGCAGAGCGTTGGAGTTTCCCTTTTGGTCGTTGCTCTTTCGAAAATGATTTGGCGTGAACAAGCAGCGTTGTTAACTCAGCCCCTTTGTCGCTAAACGAATTAAATAAGCAGCTAGCGGCAAACGTAGCGACGTTTTGGACAAACTTTAGCTACTTTCGGCAGTATTCGTCTCGTGTGTTTGGTGATGTTGTCAGATGGAGACGTGGTTGTAAAATCAGGATTTTAGCAGCAGCTCGGGAGTTCACATGTCGTCTTAACGGGGCCACGTTTCAGTCACTAGTTCAGTCAGAAACTAGCTGAAGGATGATCGTTTGTTTTTTACAGTTTAAACAATTTAAACTACCAACTTAACACTAAATATTCTTAATACTCTCTCCGTTTACTGTTATAAGTTGTATTTTTGAACTAATTATAATCACCAGTATCTAAATAAAGTTAGTATTTATCTATAATCTGATTCTTTTAATGCATTAAATACTGTCATTGTGCTTTTATTAGCAGTACCTCCCAGAGAGAGTGTACACTATCTCCCTGTGCACACATCTGGGCCCTGTGTGTCTGAGAGCTGCTGGAAACATGAGTCCACTCCCTCTTATTTTAACGATAAAAGAAGCAAATAAACATGAACTTCTGCCCAGCCACCTGGGGAGTTTTACGGCCTCTTTGTCCTCTGACCTTGAGACAGACTGCAGGCTGCTGTGGTGGTGGTGGTGGTGGTGGTGGGGGGGGCTTTACATACTACAATACCCATGAGCCTCTGCTCTTGCTGATATGAAGAAGAACTCATGTTCTGCTGAGTGAATTTACTGCCGTCAGGTCGCAGCAGGAGAACAAACCTCAGCTCCGAGTCCTTCTTTCCTTCTGCTGTCAGGCCTCTACACGCCAACACTTCTCATTTTAAATGATATATTTAAATCGAATTGTACTTATATTATTTATTGACGATAGAAACTGTAACACAAAGTGTTTTCGTTGTTCCTTGTATCGACCCAAGTTGATACTTTGTCTGTGAGTTTGTAACTTGAGGTCGGGGTGAGCTGCTCTTTGTGGGAGAAATAAATTCTGAATCTGAATCAGAAAAAATAAAATAAAAAACTTCGTCACTACAGTTTGAGGATGAAACAGTTTCTGAAACAAGTGAACTGATTTCATCTCCTGCCCTCTGATTACAGGAGAATTTAAAGCTCTGTGATTGGATGTTTTCTACCAAAATGAAAATCTTGGGAGTCAGAGTTATGTTTGTCCATCCTCATGAAGGCCTCTTTTCTGCAGAGTTTGCCTCAGGGAATTACCCAGAGTTCATAGCGTTGTGATTAAACAATGGCTTTATTATAGGGGAAACTCCCAGAAGCGTTACAAGAAAACAGTAGGCAGCCATAAAGAAAGAAGGAAGAGGAAGATGATGAATGGCAGGAACAACAACGTTTTGGGCGTCGCCAAGGTAACGTGATAGGTCATAAGGTTCTGTCCCACTTCTTGTCAGTGAAGTCCGTCAGAGTTCAGGGTCAGAGGCTGAGGTGAGAATCCATCTGATGAGCTGATGCTTGATGTAAGAATTCATAGATTAGAAGATAAGTGTACCAACACACACACACACACACACACACACACACACACACACACGTGACGTCGCGTTTACCCTTTGTTTTGTCTCACTTCTCTTCGTTTTTCTTTAGATTTGAAGGTGTGTCTGTTGCTCACAGCTTCGCTGCCTGATCGAGATCCACGTCTCATTTTCTTTGCAAAACCTGTGAATGCGGTCGAGAGAGGAGAGGCAGGTGATGATTTATATATATATATATATATGATCACATATTGACGAGCAGTTGAAACCAATACTTTAAGTTCCCTAAAATCTTGCTTTTCACTTCTCCTCCAAAAACCGATCAAAGGAACATCTGTTAGAGAAGACGCTGAGAGATTCACCTCCTCTCAGCCTGATTTACATGTTGCATCTTTCCTGTCTTCTAGAGCGCATTTAACTTTCTATGTGTGTGAATTTAAGTAAACAAGTCTTTCCACCCCCCCCCTCCCATCCCCCCCACCATCCTCACTGTGGTCTGCTGTAAACTGTTAAAGTGTGGGGTCGGTGTCGGTGAAGCTTTTCCAATAAAAACGTAAACAATGAGGCTCGTAAATCCTCTGTGCACAGACCTGCACATTCCTGAACGCACAGGCAAACTCCAGACGGAGGGAAGAATCCTGGATCCTGATTGGTTGGCAGGTATCTGATCTAACTGTTCAGAGGGACGCCTCCTAAATTAAAGTAACGAGTCTTGCTTACTGGTTGACTGAAGGAAAAAGTTAGGTTTTTACACGTGTGAATTCTCTGTTTGTGTAGAAAGTGTTTTTCTGTTTTATTCTTGTAGGTTTATATTTTATTTATTTCTTTATCGACCTTTTGCAACGTGTCCCAAGAGACACAAGACACATTTTCACACACGTATGCTAGGCTAAATAGCTTCCAGAGTGAAAGCTAGTCAGTTTAGCATACTAGCATCCAGTTTCTGGCTGAAACACAAACCTAACAGTGGAACAGGTACTTCCTGTTGAAGGTGGTCAAGGGACCGAAGTGTTAACCCGTTAAGATCGGATGCAGCGTACAGGTGCAGTATAAGATTACGTCGTTTTCAAAGACGTGACAAATTAAAATCACCGCGATTCGCCGCAGTTCTGGCCGGGAAGGCGACAACAGCTGATGCGAGGAGGAGTGAAGCGTTCTTACCACGGTCCAAGAGACACAATATATTTGACTTTGCCTCCACCCAAGATTAGACACGACACTCTCCACCCACCTGCTCCTTCATGTAAAGAATCCATTCGCAGCTCCCCAGTAAACACACAGGTAGAATCTCATGATTTGAGCCTGATCACACCAGCAAATTTAATTCATCCAAATATAATTGTTAATCGTTGAATCTCAATCTCAGCTTTCAGCAGCAAAGTAAGTCTGAGGTCATCCAGACAGGATGTCGTGTACGCGCCTGCATGAAAGTGGCAGGAAATGAACTTACACTGATGTGTATCTGCTTCATTAGGACTCGAGCTTTGAGGCATCTGATGGATCCAGGTTACAGTCAGTGGTTTCTGCTTCCTGATTCCTGCTGCTCATGTCAAAAAGAGCTGGATGCCGGTCAGAACTGAAACATGACACAGTTTTACCTTTTTTTTGAAATTGGTTTATTGAAAAAGAGTTCATGATTAATGCACCTGAAACGTCCTGCACAGCAGCGGTAAACCCTGACAGGTGTTTGCACTTGTTCAGGCTGATTGTCATGACCGAGCGTCCTTCAGCAGGACGCGTTCCACGGCCGAGTGCGTCACAACAACCAATACCAGGATGCAAATAACGTGTTGCATATAAATGTTTTGCTAAAATTGGATTTGTAACATGGTTTTATTTTGTACGTTGGAGGAGATTTAAAGTCACAGTGACCTGGAAGTTTCTCTAATACTAAATGCTAAAGAAATGCGTCAACAAGAACAAACTTGGAGAGATTGTCGATATGTCTGGCGAGACTCTGGGTCCCCAAACACACAGGGCGACGGTGATCCCCGGGGGGGTGGGGGGTGGGGGGGGTGTTTTACACTTCCTGTCACCCCTCATTCTTTCCAGCTCTTGCAACATGATGTTTGTCGAACTGAGAAAAAATTCACTGCTTCCTTAAGACATGAAGGTAAAACAAAGAAACTGTTGAATTTCTCCTGATGTAACTGAACGTGTCTGTGATGGGGGGGATGGGGGGTAACGAGCTGTAATTGTTTGTGCAATTTTTCATGAGTGTTTTTTAACATTCTTTTTGCTCAGTTCACAGGACGGGGTGGGGGGAGGGTGGGGAGGGGTGGGGGTGGGTGGGGGAGGGGCTCTGTTCTGCCCTGCCCCACAGTTCTTCTCTCAGAGGTAGAAGCAGCATATGTTTGTTTTTTTTCTTGACCCTAACATTTTTTAATTCTGAGAAGTTGGCAGGAGAGATGGAGGCGTTATCTCACACACACACACACACACACACACACACACTCACACACACATACTACAAGGGGGTGCGGTCTTCCTGCTGTAAACCCTTCATAGATCTAGAGCAGTCAGATAGGACACAAAGGTGCAACAGCAGGTCTTTTTCATGTAAATAACTTCTGCTCTTTCTCTTCTTTTTCTTCTGGAGCAGCAGTTTCTTCTTTTACTCTGTTTATCACTTTGTTTGTTTGGTCTTTTTTCTGTTATATTTTATTCTTTAATTAAAAATCCTTTTTTTCTTTCCAAGAATTACATTTTACTGTTTTCAACACATAGTTTTCGGAAGCTTTAATTTTCACAGGTCATTTATTTTCCCTGTAGTGTTTCACCTTCACCTAGAGAGCGTCTGTTCCCCTCGTTTGGTTTGGTATCTATTCTTTTTGTCAATAAAATGACATTTTAAATTTCCTTGAACCCTGAATCCCAGTACGTCGAGAACTTTCTCCAGAGCCTCCGCACTAGATCATCTAGACAAATAATCTTCAGCGCTCCCACACTTTGTTCAGTCCTCCTCATGCCCTCTCAAAAGTTACATTTGGAAATGAAGCCTCGATATAAGACATTCAAACACCATGTTTAAAACATGTTTGAACGAATGATGTAAAGTTTTAAATAGTCAAACTTCTATGTGAATGTTGTGAATTCATTTTGCGTGTTCTTATGATTAAAAAGGATAAAAAGGTAAAATACGAAAAAGACGTCTTCAAGTGCTGAACTCAATCTGCAAAAGTTAAAATCATAAGAATACAATAAAAAAAACTTCTTTAATGACTTAATAAGTGTAGAAGAAGTTTTTTCAATCGCAGGTGAAACCCTTTCAGTTGCATCTTGTGTTGACATTTGTCATTTCCCTTGATCTCTTCTGCTTTAAGAAGTAGATAGAAGAGTATGACGGCAGTTCAGCTCTGTGTGTTGTAACTCTGCGTTCGTCCCCTGCACTGTGTCTCTGCATGTACTTTATCACAGCACACACTGCTGCACATCATCATCACACACACACACACACACGCTGCTTCACTTCTTCATCTGCTGAGACCAAACCACCAAAAACTGAAGATGGGAAAAATTAACGGATGTCTCAAATGTCTCTTTATCTTCTTCAATGTGTTGTTTGCTGTAAGTAGAAAAACTTTTTTCCTTTTTCTCCTTTTTTTTTAATATTTCTAATTTCATTTTCAGTTATATTTTAGGTTTATTTACATGTGTTTTATTTGAAAAAAATGTATTTAGTTTAATATGTGTTGTTTGAAACAAAAGATTAAAAAAAAAGAGGAAAACAGGGAGAAAAACAATCCACCAAAAAAGTAGTTACGCAATTCTTGTTCATCTTAGTTTCACCCTCCTTAAACAATTCAGTTTTAATTTCACATGTTCATAAACTGACAGGGATGCATGGGCTGGGTGGAAAAAGATAATATTTAAAAATGGTTTGTTAAAAAATCAGTTTGATTTTCAGCTTTTTCTGAACATAAACGCTGGAAAAAAATGTGTAGTATCAAAACTACAAGATGCAGATTTATTGACCAAAAAAAAAACAACAAAAACAACAAAATCGTGGTGGTGCAGCTGGTGTCATGTAGTAAAGTGATAAAACATCAAACAGATTTTTTTTCTAGGGTAATAAGCAAGAGTGGTTTTTTTTGTGTGTGTGGTTTCTTTGGCTGATGTTCAATAAAAATTCACTTCCAGTAAAACCCTCAAGACGAAGAGCAGAAGCTAAAGTGAAAATCTCTGATGCAGGTTCATATTTCATCCCGCCCACACAAACCCTTTCTACTCTCACTAATGAAGCTGCTGCAGAAACATCAGGCACTCAGGTGGATGGGCAAAGGAAAAACAATCAGAGGAGAAAGTCAATTTAAAGAGTGGCGGAAACATTAAAGGAGCTCCCTTTTGTGTTCTTTAGTGAAGGAATGTAAACATTATTAAAAGTGTCACTTTAAAAACAATAACCCCTTAAAAAATGAAACAAATGAAGATGAACTAATTTCTCTGAGATGAAAAAGACAAAATGAGGTTCAAGAATGAAAAACACAGATGATCTACGTGTAAAATTGTCAAAAAAGTAATGTTTTTCCTTTTCTTCGTGCCCGCCACACACTTTTCTTTTTTCATGTGAGTGTTTGCATCGACCTTCAGGTTGGTCACAGAAAGTCTGTGAGTTTTTAGATCTGTGTCTCCCTCTAGTGGCTCAGAGCAGAAATACCACTACGAAGAATACAGCGTCAACTACTGCAGATGTAATGCCTGGAGGACATTAAATAAATATAAATAATAAAACGAAACAAAATATAATAATATAATATAAAATAATAAAGATAAATGACATAGTAAACACACTTTATGACTGTTAGAGACCATTTTCCAGCCACTTCCAGTTTGTAAAGCTTTCTGTAAAAGGCTGTTTAATGTCAAAATATGCTCTTTAAAGTGATGATTACATAATTTAATATGGGTCTGTTCAGTTCCAGGTGGCTCCGCTCCCCGGTCGAGCAGCTGTTTTAAGTTTCATTTGAGTTAATGTCATTTATATTATTTCATCAGGTTGTTTCTGGTGTTTTTGAAGTGGTTTAATGTTTACATGAACAACATACTCAAACCTTTCGTATGATTGATTTTGTATAAATGCTGCACAGGATATCTGTGCAGCATTTACACACTGTCTACACCCGATGCATTCAGTGTTGTAGGAAACTCTAGGATCCAAACTAGAATATGAAATAAAGTTATGTGAGTTTGAATTTGTCTGTGTCCAAGATAAGATAAGATAATAATCCTTTCTTTGGGGAAACGAGCAGCGACAAAGGGACGATATAAAGAAAGAAAAACTGCAAACTGACGAATGGATTTAGAAAAACAAACTTTGTTGTTTTTGTCATATTGGAGACAATGTAGGATTTTAACCTTGAAATTCAGATTTATATTTGTATTTTTTCTTCTTTTAAGAATCAGTTTTATGGTGGCACTCTTCAGTCTCCATACGTGGAGCTTTTATTTTGTTAAAACTCAAGCTAACTAATGTGATGTGTCCTCAGATCATCGGATGTTTGCTGATCTTCGGGGCAGTGAAGGCCACCAGCATCAGCTACCAGGTAAACAACAACAACAACAACAACAACAACAACAACAGTAATCCACATGTTTCTCAGCGTCGAATCAAAACACAACAAACATAAAGCCAGTCATCACATTTGTATCTTATCATTTGGTTTTTTTTACCAGGACGATATAAAAGGACAAATAGCGCAAAGCATTATGGGATGAACTTCATAGTTTTTACCGTCATATCTAACTGCCGTAAACATCTCAGCTGTGCTCACTTTTAGTTTTAAATACATTTGTTGAATCTGTTGTGATTGACTGAAACATAAACCTACAAGAATAAAAACCCAAGTTACAATAAACCTGAATCATCCTTCAAGCAATAAACAAACCACAAATGAATCAACTGTTTAATCATAATGGCTTTTTCATTTATTGCAACATTTAAAAAAAGGTCCTTGTGTGACCACTTGGAGCCGACAAAAGCTGCTTGTGGTTTTAATCAAAACAAAAGCAGTGTGTTTGCATTTGTGAAAATCGTTTTGGATTCCGTTAGTCAAGACCGGGCATGTTGTAATCCTGTTTGGAGCTCACATGAAAATACCTGAGGAGAAATGTTTAGAACGAGCCGAGGTGATGGATAATGAGTCTTATGAGGAGGCGAACAGCTGCCCAGATGTAGTGCAGGCTCTGGTTTCTTGTCTTAATGCAGAACAGATGTTGCTCGGGGGGGTGGTGGGGGGGTGGGGTTTTATTTCCACAGTTGACACAAAACCAGGATAGCTCTCACAATGTTATCAGATCAGAAATACTGACAGGCTACGTGAGGGATGATCTATATTTCTGGAACAGAACGGCCTCAGGTCATTGTTTTTAAATAATCAAATTTGACTTCCATTTCTGTTGAGCATGTTCCAAAAAACACGGTCAGGTTTTAGATTTCCAGCATTCCAGTAACCGCTTTTTCCAGGAAGCAGGATTTAAACTTGTTAACGAGTTGAAACCTGATATGGTTCCTTTATACAGAACTGGCCCCAATAAAATACAATGTTTTGGTCTGCGAAATTACACTGGCGTTATATATTTAAATATAAATGTCACAACACATTTGATTGCAATCATCACTCTCTGCCAACAAAATCCCATGAAAACACCAACGACGAACTGATCTTACACTGGAGCTCCTCGGAACCGTGAGCGCGCTGATCCGAATCTACGTACACTGACCGTAGATAATAACCTTACACAACTCCACGTCACATGACCTGAACTGTCACTTTAACATCTGGATTCTGGATGTGAATCTGCCGTGTAACGTTAAGCCAAAGACAATAAAATCAACAAATTCTGAATCCATCATTTCTTGTATCGTAATCTGAATATTCATTTAAAGAGTAACTATATCAAAAATAGATAAATAAATAAAACTCTAAAACTTATTGTCATTGTCCTAAGATGCATCATCAGTGATGAAATAAAATAAAATAAATACTGGGATATGCTCAGAATAGTATATTATAAAAACTCAACACGTGGTCCTGTGGATATTTAAACTGACTTTTTAACATGTACCAGGTGCCACATTATGTGGAAGGGAAAGTATTAATTGTATAATGTATGTTTTTTTATTTATTGATGGTAAGAAAAATGTAATTTTAAATTTACAGTAACTCAGTGTTTGAGGTTGTGTCTTTGTCCTGTCATGGCGGAGTAGCTGTCGGCGTTCGGGACCCCCGGCCTGGGATGGATGTGGGTGTTCGCCATCGGCGTCCTCGGCATCTCCTGCCTGGGAATCTATGCAGGCTGCGCTGAGAAAGGCATAGCCCTAAAAATAGTACGTACAAGAGCCCGTGCTCAACAAGAGGCAGAACTAATAAGTGTTAACTTTTCACCTGAGATATCTGTCTCTTTGATTGGATTAAACTTTGAATGTTGTTCTTGTTCCATCACACAGTTTGCAGGCTTCATGGGGGTTGGAATGGTCATCATGCTGATCTTCGGCATTGTTGTCGTTGTCACAAGAAACAAGGTCATCTATCTTCATCAATCTACTATCTATTGATTTTGTGATGCTAATTTTTCTCTCTTTATCTTGATCTTGTTTTTACTCTCTCTTTGTAGCTATTAGTTCACGAACCCTGTCTCTCTCTGTTCTGACTCCATCACTCTCGATCTGTCACCTCGATGCTAAACGTGTTTTATTTCTGTCCATCTTGACGCTACCTTCGTTAACTTGATGCAACCTGTGGCTCTGAGCCTCTTTTCTGATTGGCTGACTGTTTTTCTGAGTGATGCATTAAAAATATACCAAATACCAACCGAATACACCAACCAAATCCTGCAAGGTTTGGATGGTGGGTCCAGGTGGGCGGGGCTAAAGTTCCAGAAGTCCTGACGGCTGGTTTTAAGGCTCAGTTTCTGAATACAGGCTGTGTGCATTTCTCTGTGGACTGAGGCTTTGATACTTTCACAGTATTAATATAGAACCTGGACCTGCTTCATAATCTCTCTTTGCAGATCAGAGATGACTTCAAGAACACCTCCGCTGAAATTGCAAAGCCCTTAATGGAAGACGAGGGAATGAGACAGCTGCTTCAAGGGATACAGGCATCTGTAATGTTCTTTTCTATTTTAGTGTACTGCACTGAAATTTGAAAATTAACATTTCACATTTAAGCTAAATAAACCCCCCATGCACTATCTGAAGATAAAACAGTTATATTAAACAATTCAAATGTTAGTCTGGAATCAAGACTTTTTTTTTTATTATTTCCCATAATCTCCTGCTGCAACTGTCGAAGACTATTTCCACCCGTTGAAAGTCACTTTCTCATGTGTTTGCAGGCCCAGTGCTGTGGGCTGTCGAGCGCCAGCGACTGGGGAAGTGAAATCCCCGAATCCTGTGAGTGCAGCTCACGTAGCCACTTCGGACTACCTACCAAATGTAGAGCCAAACCTGCGGTTAGTGAAATATCAGATTTAAAAATGTTGGTTAATTGTAGGTTTGTGGTTCCGTTGATCGAGATCTCTGGAGTTAAAAGTTGAAATCTGTCAGAAAACTGAGGCCTTTAGTTTGGATGTGTGAGGATAAGCAGTGGACTGTTTCTCTTTGCTAAATATGGTGACAATACTCTGCTGTTGTTTTCTTACAGGGAACCCAGGGCCCATCCCAAATTTATGAACAGGTACTCAATCAAACAAGCAACCAATCAAAGCAATAGCAAGTCCACCAGGTGGTGATCTTTCCAGGTAATGACCCTTTCTCCACTTCACTGTCTGCAGACCTGCGGTGATGCCATCTTTTCATGGGTGGACATGTTAATGAAGATCATCATGGGCTTCTTCTTTGGATTTTCCATCACTGCAGTAAGCTTGGCTGTCATTCTCATTGGTTGTTGTTGTTGTTGTTGTTGTTGTTGTGTTTTGTTACTACATTTTCATCCAGATATCATCACCAACCTCCTTCCCAAAACTTTCAAGATATATTATCCCAATGGGCATATAAAGCTTTTAAATCTGTTTTCAAGGGTTTCTTGAGTTCATGTTTGTGCAGTTAGCTACTTCACACTTAGCTTAACTAATGTTAGCTTTAGCCCCAACGTTAGCTTCAAATTCACAGAAACACAGTGTCGGGACCTGACACGTTAGATTTTGGATCAATGTTGGGCTGTTGTCTTGTAGAAGGCGCTGAACTGATGTCAGGTTTATGTTTTGCTAAGGTAAGATGTATTTCAGCAAGAATTTGCTTTTGTTTTTTTGTACAGCTAATACTTTCTGTTGGCTTAGCAAGCTAACGGTCAGCGTAGTTGAAGCAAAGCAAAAGTAAAGCCTCTGGTCAGCCTCGATTTCTTGGATCGGACGTTAGTGATACAGGTACAGGGAATGTTTTGATCTCAGTTTCGGGACGGAGAAATCTTTCACGGATACAAAGCTGAAATATTTAATCTGATTAACATTTAGCTATATTGAAAAACACTGAGAATATCATTGAAATTTAAACGTTTAAAAGTGTAGAGACCCAGTCGTACCTCCCGGTTTGCAACTGTGTTAGTTCCACTCATCTCCTGAAATGAGATCAGAAAGCTCAACAACTCATTCAGCTGTTAAACCAACAAACCAAAAAAAAACAAACAAACAAAAAAACATCTTTACAGCAGCTGTCAGACTCCAGTCAGCATTTGAATATCTAGCAGCAGTTGTATGCAGTGTGGATTAGACAGATGGTTGCTCGCATTGGCGTCTTTCACTTCTGGTTTGAATTAAAAAGGTGTTGAACAGTTTGAATGTTTCTCTAATGGACGACTTGTCTTTACAGCTGCTGGGCCTGGTCGTCTCCTTCCTGATGATCCATCAGGTCAAACGTCACGACAGCACGGGAGGAGCGTCCATGGCCATGAAGGGCTACTGAAGGGAACCACCCTCGACCCCTGACCTTTAACCTCTGCACTGTAATTAGAGGACTACATACACGGTCAATAAATGAGTCATTTACTTTTTTTTTTTTTAACGACATTTCTGCCTTTTAAGAGAATGAAACTGAAAGTCGGAGACAGAAGGACGATGCTGCAGGAACATTTCATTGCTTTCACTGCTTTCTATTGTAGAAAATCTTGCTTGAAGAGCAAACGTTTATTTTTTTGTGAATTATATTTTTTGTTACTTGATGGCCAGAAGTATTGTAGCAGTCTTACATAACAGACATATATTGTAGGAAGGAAGAAGTTCCTAAGCTCCACCCTTCTCCATATCTGACTAAAGCTCTATCATCCAGAGGAGGTCATAACATCCACTAGTGGTTTTAAAAGCATCAAGAGTAATTTGGAAAATCCGTTTCCTTGGCGAACTACTGTAGCCGGCGAGCTAATTGCTAACACACTTAGCAGGCAGCAACATGCTAGCATAGTCTTTCACTTAGCATAGTCATTTCACCTCTTCCAGCTAGATGTCTGGCACACTAGTCCTGTAGCAATTAGTCGTAAATCCGACCAATCAGCATACATTAAAAGAATGCTAACATTTTACAGGCAAAATTGCATTCCCTGTAAGAAAAACAAAAAGACTTTAAGATTTTGATTTATAGCTGAATAGATCCTGTATCTGAAAAAACTACAATAGAATTTGGGCTTTTTTGTCTAAAAGCAGGTGTAGGTAATTATTTTAACCGTTTAGCTCCATTCACTCCAATTCATTAACAAAAAAATTAAATGAGCGCCCTCTAGGTGAATTGCAGCGAGTTTTCGGTTCAATGGCACAAACAGGAAGTGGACAGGCTCTGGTGCAACAGAGCTAACTGGCTAATAGGATAAAGTCCTCCATTTTGAACTCTCCAGTTTTTCCATTCTCTAAAAAGGTCAGCACTGTCAAGACTGTGTGCTGTTGTATTGAAAATGTATTTGTGGATTTACTTGTTCCTGCAAGTAAATTCCATTGCGAGGGGGAAACTGCAAGCTAGCTTAGATTTAAAGCCGCCTTGTTATACATATTGTCAATGTTACTATTGCTTTCATCTGCACTGATAAGAGCTTTTATATGGTTGCGCTTAGTATTAAATTTCTAGCAGCGAGACACAGATACAGTTGTAAGATGAGGATCGTCCTCACCTCCAGTGTTGTATTTTTTAAAACAGCAACAAACAACAACAACAACAATAACAACAACAACAACAGCTCCTCAGGTTAGTTAAGTGTTCAGGTCTCCCACAGGCAGTGAACACCTCACCACCATTTACAAAACAAAAAAGGATTTAAATAGAAGAGAAATACTATGACACAAACTGTTTTATTGTGAAATCTGCGCTCATTTAACTTCAGAATAAACTCTGAATGCGTACACTGTACTAATGCTTTGTCTAACAGTTATTTCCTGGTTTTGATAAAGGGCTGATGGAAACTAATAGGGAGGGAGGGAGGGAGGGAGGGAGGAGGGATGGGGGGGGGGTGTTCTTTTAGGATGTTTTTTTGGAAACAGCATCTTCAGCTTGGATTCCACTGCGGGGGTCAAACAGCGAGCCTCGTTATAATTCAGCACGGCTTTAGCGGGAGAATCCCCCTGAAACTTGTTGTCAGCATAAAAGTTTCAGCAGCTCTGTGCTGGTTCAGTTCAGTCAGTTCCCTCGTTCGGAGGAGCTCCCGGAGTTCAGAGGTCGCTTATGAACAGAAAACGGGGTCTCTGGTGCATCTTCTGCCCACGACAAGGTTATTTTTTTAAAAAGAGAAGCGTCTCACATGACGACTCTCCACAAAGAAAATGTTAAAGACCACATTTCTCCTGCTTGATATTTGTGTTTATTTAACAGAATGAACAGGAGAAAAAAAAACAAGACAGAAGTAAATTCTCTGTGCTCGACCCGTTTCTTTTAAGTAGTTAATTAAAAACGACTATGTACTTCCCTCAGCACTTTGCATAGCATTATATGCTTTCCTCTCTTTTGTACTGTGTCAGCTCCACTTCCTGACCGTTTCCTTCATCTGGTTCCTGTCCTGCATTCCTCATGTATCTACAGTCTTCAAATCCCTTTAAGTTTTTACACTTGACTGTGTTGTTTATTGTGTTTGGAGTTCTGCCCGGAGGGTTCAGCTTTTGTCTCCTCAGCCCACAGAATCTGGTTCCTCATCCTCCTTTAAATGTGATATGTCTTCTACTCTAAGTGTCTTCAGTACCATAAAGGTCTGACTGAAGAGCTGCTGAGACGGTCGTCCCTCCAGCAGGTTCTCCATCTCTGCAGAGGACTTCTGAAGCTCTGCTGGAGCGACCGTCGGGTTCTTGGTTCTCGGGTTCTGAGCAGGACCCTTCTAGCCTGGGTACTGAGTCTCTAAGAAGAGTCCTGCTGGTTCCAGAGTTCGTCCATTTCACTGTTACTGAGGTCACTGTTCTCCTGGGGTTTATTCTCTTGTCCTGATCAGTTTTATCATGAAGGTCTACAGAGAGTTCTTCAGACTTCACGGCTTCTGTCCTGAGTTACAGTGTGAACTGTGGGACCTTATACACACAGGTGTTTCTCAACTGTGTCCAATCAGTTCAATTTGCCACAGGTGAACTCTCAAGGACAATTACAACAAACAGGAAACTGAATCTGGGTAAATCTGTTGTGCAAATTTTGTAAATGAGAGATTTCAGTGATCAGTGGTAATTTCAATCTTCCCTATTTAAAACACAGTAAAGTGAATGATGCTTTGTCACACGCTTTGAGGTACAATGCAAAACGTCTTCCTGTATTATTAATATTCCTGTGTTCTTGCCAGACATTGTTAATGTGATTCGTAGAAATAGCTCTGACCCCAACCTCACCTTACATCACCCTCCACAGTGACATGGGCAAGACCCGAAAGGAAAGAAACACCCAAACCCTCATTATGGAGTCTGAACAATACATGGAAGATTTCAAACTGAATATCCCGTCAGGGTGAAGGCTACAGGCCCAGTCTACAGCAGCTCCGTGTGAACGGTCTCTCTGCCAGGAAACTGAAGGGAGAGTGACTGTTTTTTTAAGTCAGGGAGCTGATTGGAGGGTCGGGAACAGGTGTGCAGGGTGGTGTGGAAGTCAGGTGACGGCTGAAGGTGGGGAAACGCTGCAGATCAGACAGGGAGTGGCAGGTAAATGAGTACATGAGTGTCAAACTGACACACAATGTTAAGATTTGTATGAAGTGAAAATACAACAGCTTGTGTTAGTCCACTTCCTGTTTCAACTTGACAACCTGGGTCCCTTAAGAAATGTTTTTTTCCCGGTTTGGTGTGTGAGACCTGCACAGAGCTCTGACCTCAACCCAATCTAACACCTTTAAAATGAACTGGAACACAGACTGTGAACCGGACCTTCCCCCCCCCCCCCCGACATCAGTGTTGAACAAATAAAAACCTGCACACTGCTTGTACATGTTCCCAGTTCCTGTTTAAATCTACATGTACAACATTTAACCACCTTAGGCTCTTTATCATGTAAATATCACATCTGCATCGCACTACAAAGCCCAGGATCATCTGTTGACACACAGAAGAAGAAAAGAAAGACACACATATATACTATGTTCTAACAATATTGAGTTAAACAACAAAAAGAACAAAAAGGACAAAAACATTCAGATAATCACTAAAAGGACAAACATTTCAAAAGCAACAGAGAACATTTAACTCATCACAAATATAAAATAATTAAGGAAATGTAAAAACATGGCAGTAGACATGCTAACATACTGGAGGGCACTAAAGCCCAGTCTCAGAAACCCACACAGAAATGTAACATATGTCACCTATAAGGGGATATATTATTATCACATACATACATCCTGTAGTTTATAACATACATGAAATAGCCTTAGTAAAATGTGTATATGCACATAAATTAAAAATAGCAAGCATGTATGTTAATAATATATATTTAATTTATATGTGCAGGTTTATTAACAAACATACATAAAAAAATAATAATATCAACATATATTGACAGGCTTTGTGATGGGTATATATTTATATAATATAAATATGTCTAAAATATAAGCATACATACATAAATATGCTTATACATGTTAATATAATATAATTTTAATTTCTAAAAAGCTTCATATATAATTTTTAAATATGATTTTATCTTATATGCACATATTTATGTACATATATGACATTTGTGAACGGGTGGGAAGAAGGAACAAGATCACAGTGTATGTTATTATAGCAGCAGGTAGCTCCAAAACTCAGGTGTCCATATACTTTTGGCCTTATATAGAAGTAATTGACAGGATAAACCAGCAGCCGCCATTAGGGGGCAGTACACACCAACAGTCTGACCCACAGAGCAGCATGTGCACGAGGAGCCGGTCTCACATTTATCTGCACACCACATACTGGTGTGAAAGAACTGGAGAGGAAGATAATAATGTGGCACACACATGAAAATGACTGGGTGTGTGTTTTTGCTCATTTTTCAATTTAAATATAGTAGAAACTGAGATGAAGAAGTCGTATTTAGTGTTTTCATAAAGCTGCTCACACTCTCTCTGCTGTCACTCAGCTACAGAGTACAAACACTGAGCTGATGGAGCTTCTCAGCACAGGACGCACGTTAGCGGTTAGCATTTACATCTGTCTTATCTTTTCCTGCCCCCCCCCTCCCCCCCTGCTGGGTCAACACTCACCCATTTATTTATGGCCGTTAATCAATCACAGAGATACAGTGTGAGTTTCTGACAGCCTGGTTTTTTTTTTTTTTGTTTATTTTTTTAAAGACTGTGAGACGAGCGGAGAGGGAGAACACAAGCTGTGCAGGCGACAAAGATTCGATTCTCAGACCTTTTCCTTGATGGATGAGTTTACGTCCCTGCTTCAGTCTTTCCATTTCCCACAGTAAACTCAGGAAGGTAGCCACCTGTGAACATGTTGAGGTGACACCCAGTTTTATGAACCTATAACCAGGTGTATAAGTCTGTGTGTGTGTGTGTGTGTGTGTGGGGGGGGGGCTGAAGAGACTGCAGCGCCGAGGATCTTAATGTGACAAACAGCCAAACAATGGAGTTGAGGATGCCAGCAGCAGCCGAGGGAAGCGCTCTGCGGACGACTTCGTAAAGCTCCAGAGCCGCGGTGGACGAGGCAGGGACAGGACACGTACGACAGTAAAATGTAAAGCAGGGAATGAATCAACAAACAAACTCGCAGACCGCTTTCCCCCTTCTTCTTTTTTTTTTTTCCCCCCACAGGTGTAAATAATAAAATGAATGATGGCTGGGTTCCATTCAGCTGCTCCAGTTTCCGTGTCCTCGTATTGTTCACGCTGGCTGGCCGTCATGACATGTCTGCTGGTCTCTTCACAATGTGAACCTTTGTAATTGCATTTTATGACTGGCAGCAAAACAGCAGGTTAATAATGACTTTGTCTAATCATCACTCCGCCCAAGCCATCATTCATGTTGAATGTCCTCCAGCAGTATCCTGGGGTCTTTCCAAACCTCAACTTTCTTTGTTCTGCTACGACTTCTGCTGACAACCTGACACATTTTCCTCTTGGTTTGGTTTATTGTTTCACACAGAAAAACACTGAAGTGAACCAAAATGCATCATGACGAGACAGGTAAAAACGTTAACTCCGCCCTCTGAGGTGCTAGCACCTGTTGAAACTGCGCGTGGCTGCAGGAGTCAGATCACATCTACAGAGTGCGTCTCGTTATTGGGTCAGATCGAGGGCCGATCACGTTCCCATCACAAATTAACTGCTCTTTAATTTATTTGTGACCGGAGCAAGATACACCGGTATTGACTTTAACTAAGATATTTAAAAAATTAAATATTAATATGGTGTTTTTTCTATAGATGTTGCGATAACATCATTATCCTGAATTCATTATGCCACGATACTCATGTAGTAAAAATCTGATATCTGATATATGATTGATTTTACATCTGCCCGAAAAAATTGTTCTAAGGAGGAAAACGACTCAGTTTTAACTGAAATAAAGAATTCAGGTTTGAAAACATACTTATAAGAACTTTAAATGAACTGCTTCGCAAATCCTGTGAATGATTGAGCTGAACTGAACTGGCACTTGTGAAAGTCCTGACTCAAAATCATTTTAAAAGAAATCTGTGTGACTGACAGGAGAAATTATCATAGGGGCAGAATTTATGCCATCATTAAGCCCGGGACTGAAGAACAGGTAGATTTCTTCAGCGAAGGAGCAGCCAGTGAAGGAGTAGAGAAGCTCTGCAGAATCTGCGTCATAAAAGGAGACGAGACCCTCCTCATAATCGACAAACACTCCTACCTTCTCGGGCTTTGAAGGGAGTGAAAGAAGAAGGGGAGAACCGACAAGAGCTGCGTATTCGTCTCCGTTTTTCAACCACATGGTC